AACTGTTCTCAGTCCAGTGTGGACAGTTCCTTCCTTGACCCAGCAAGCATTTACTGATCACCTACATATGTAAAATATTCCTGAGTGCAATGTACCGGCCAGAGCAAGTGTCTGCAAGGAGCCCGACCCGACAGCTGCTCCTGTGTTACCTAAACACCCACCTTTGGTAGGTCCTTTCCGGTTGAGCACGGCCTGCTGTTCCTCGGTGATGTTCAGGCGCCGAACCACGTCGGCCAGGGCTGACTTCAGCAGCTGGATGTCGTCTTCTTGCATCTGGACCCGCTGCTCCAGGGAGGCGATGCGGTCTGTCACCTCCATGCTACTTGCAGCGGAAGCACTGTCATCTAAACCAGAGGAAAGGAACCAGTGAGTCTGACATGCTCCCCAGAGGAAGTGGCCCAGGAAGCGCATACTAGCACGTTGCTATAACATAGTAATTAAACCCCAAGGACAACAGCTCTTAGGAAGAAATTGTGTGGCATCTTTTACTACGTAGGCCAACAACACTTTGTTCTCTGACACTCTTTTCCTTCTCTGTTAGTGCTCCGCATTTTTTAAACCGTGGTTTTAACTGCCATTATATCTTTCTAGATGCAGGCCAACTTAAATTTTCTTTTCCATGATATTAGAGAACCCCAGAGGTAGAGGGGATGTTCAAATCTACCTCCACTTCCCACACACTGCAGAAATCCACTGCACGGCCTTCTAGCATTTGTTCCAACAACGCTGACAGGTAGGTCAGATAATCACATGGCCAGACCACCCACCAGGCAAGGCATTTACGGACTGGTTGCTCTGACGAAGCAATAGGAGTGGTCAAATGTGTCTGGTAAGCATCCCCTTTACAGCCACGGCGATCATATGCTCTCGTATAGAATCACTAATTCCCAATGCCTTATCAAGGTCTACCAGGCTCTACATGATCTTGCATGTCATTCTCCCTTTCCGCTCATTTGTTTGCTTCCTATCTCTATCTCCCAACTAAAATGTAAGCATCATGGAGTCGCTTCTGTGATGACAGACCCCTCATGGACAGCACCCCCCTGCTGAAAGCAGGTCTCAAGCCCGGAAACTGCACAAAAATAACTCCCTGAGGGTTGTAGAGAGTGGATACGAGCAGCTCTGATGGGAGTCTCCACTGACTTGGCGGAGGGCAGGTGGACAACTGCACAAGTAAATTCCTCTTTTCGTGGCTTTTAGCCCAGAGCTAAGTGGTGCGCTAAGTGGGGGTGAGGGTCCACGTAGGAAACCCCGTAGTTGCTTTGTCCTAAGAAAACCAAAAAGCGAAGTCCAAAAACTGTGAAACTGAAGAGAGTGGGAAACCCCAGGAAAGGAAAAGCCAGAGGTGGGATCCCCAAACTCTGCCTGTTCATACAACATGTTCACACAGACTCAAATATTCCAGCTAACTACAAGAGGTCAGAACTTCGCACTCCAAAAGATCTGGTTTGCACTTCAAGCCCAAGAAGTTCAAGCCCAATGAAGAAAAGCACCCACTACAACAAAGGAAGCAACACGCACCAGAGGAAAATGATAGAAACCAGAACCTCCACAACATAACATTCATAATGTGCAGGATACAATCCAACATTACTAAGGACATACTAAGAATCAAGAAATG